CATTATAATACCCATACGTGAGTCGACACCATAAAGAAACAGATTTCAGTAAAGAGGACAGAAGATGAATTTGAACCCGAGCAAAGTGTTGCATTTAGGGGAGGATTGCACTTATGGGGGTTGCATTTATGGAGGTTTTACTGTATATCAATTAAACAGATGACCTGTGAATGAATGTTTATTTGGAACACTCAAGTGCTATAATAACAGTAATTGAAAGAAATAGAGTTATATGTTATTCATCATCCTTACTATTATCTCTCGCTGGGGTTACTCTAAACCCTGCTCTCCTGATATACGCCCATCTGTTTTGCATACTCTTTATATCACGATTAGGTAACCCTTTGGCTAAGTCGTTCCATGGTACGTTCTGAATCAATCCAAACATAAAATCAACCAATATTTTGTCCTCCTCCAAATTCCACTTCTGGGCTGGTTTACGTGACTTTGGATATTTCTTCGACTTTCTTGCAGAGAGTTCAGCCTCGGAAAGCAATCTCGGGGTTTCGGCTGTGCGTATGCGTTTTTTCGGTGGGTTCATTTTATTCTTGACAATAACCCGTGGGAGCGTATGAACAGGCTAGATAGGGAGTACCGAATGTAAGATTAATCCCCTAATAAATTTGCTGTATAATTTTTCCACACCTCACTCGTCCGAAATTCATAATCTTCGTAAGCTTTTGCTACACGTCCACGCTTTGGCGGTCCGGATTCAAAAATTAATTCCTCATTTTTTTCTTGTACAAGGCATTCTTTTTCTACACTTTTAGACGCCATCAAGGTTTTTTTGTTGTTGAAAAGACAAAAGTCAAGTTTTTTAATTGAGCATCACAACGGGAAGATGATTGTGGTTGCTTTTAAATATTAAGTTTATCCCCCCCCGCCATCGTAACTACGTAATAGCCGTGGATTCGGACAACAGTTTGATCACTCCGTTGCCATTGATCCAAATATAAGTTGTATCATTCTTACCAAAACAGATTGATATGATACTTGGGTGACGTAACATTATTTCTTTCTCGGTGAAGCTTACAATAAAATCTATTTCTGTATGCCACAATAATATGCGAATTTCAAAGCACGAAATCGGGATGTTATACAGTATATGGGACATACTGCACTAGACAAAGTGAACATAGTAATAGTGTCAGGGTCAATATATATTCTGCCGCAGCTACGACAGTCTACATCATCACAAACAAGCCGCAGTAGAAGAAATAACGGAATGTAACGCAAAACGTGAAATAGTTGTATAATACAGCCTGTGGATAGTTATTTATTATTATACATACGTTTCGATGTTCATCTCACTTTTATACTCAGTCTTAAATTCAATTCAATTTCGAAGAGAGACGTTCATTTAGTAATCGAGGGTCTGCATATACAAGACTGAACGTAAGACTCGTGAATATAAAAAACGGAGTGGTTGGTATTGCCAACCTCGTTTGAAGAAGTTAAACCTCAAGGTTAATTACCAATCGCTCTCTTGTGGTAATTAACTCGACAATAGTAAGACTTCAGCGTTCAAAACTGATGAAATGTTTTCTTTGACTGATTAAAATAAAGAATACTACGCTCGATTGTTTCAAGTAGAAAATTCAACGTCAATTCTTCTATTACGTCATTGATGTGGTGCCATTGATAACAATCGCATTGTTGGCAAATTAGAAATAGCGTGTGTTAATGTTCACTCTTAATGAGCGTGCATTGAAAGTGCAATGATAATTATTATAAATAAGAGTAGAATATGTCCATTCTCTATATGTTCTATGTTCTAACGTTTATATTATGATTAATCGAAATAATCTAAATAAGTCTCACAATCTCAATGAATTAACAAATGTACAAATGAATAATTGACCTTCGATCGGATACAATAGAAGTCAAAATGCACGTGTGCATCTACATTAACGAATCATCGATTCCCTTGTTATTAGAATATGAATTTCGTCTAATTGAAGGCGAGGATTTAGGACCCGATTTATCAAGAACGTATTGACTACGCGAGTTGAAAAAGAGCAAGAGAATGCTTCTCAGAGTTTAGGCTGAATATAGAGCTAAATCTCAAGATTAGCTAATAACTTGCTCTCCTGTATTAGCTGGCGCGGCAAAAGCGCTGAAAAAAGAGAGGAGAATCTAGAAGCTTGGAAGAAGTGGTCGCAGGTGCTGATGCTGCAAAAAGCACTTTGTAGAGTCTTTGTGAATTAGACTATGGGAATGTTAGGTGAATTTCTAGTAGAGTTTATCTGCCGAGATTTTTTTTTTCTTTATGCATGCTATTTTTATCCCTTATACTCTTTAATAAATGTCGAGTTATTACTGCTATCTATGTATTCCTGCTTCCAACTTATGACCTTCTTAACAGCACAATCAATGAGCTCAAAATGAACATACAAAGAAGTCATAGTTCTCATCATCTTTTCGCGTTACATGTAGGATTAATAAAAATATTATGCAAAACGGTTACGTAAACAAACGACTGACTCTAAATGCATGATATGTAGTACAACCGACATATGATATTTCGATAGAATGTTTCCGAAGAGTCTTTTGGAATTGAAATTTTTTGCGCTGGTGTTATCAAGTTGCACACTTTGTACGTTGGTATCTAACCTAGGCACTAAGGCTCCAATTTTGTGGTTATACATATAATGATAAAGTTTATTTATGTTATTTATTGAATGCTACAACAGATAAAAATATTAAAGGTCCTGGTTTTATTTACTTTCTTTCAATATTCTTTTACCCTATAATAATAAGAAGAAAGACTAACACAAATAACGAACCGGCAATTAATCCCTAGAGCCGGGATAGTAGTGCTATAGAATAAGAGTAGTAAATTCCTCTATCCAATGCACTATTACTATAGTCCATTCGTGAGTAAAAGACCGAGCTGACATCAACTATGACTCTTATATCTAACAGCAAATTCTGTCTGCCGTCCCTCTAACCTCTGCTTATTATAAGCATCTTCACTAAAATAATAATTATTGTGGGAGCTGATGCTGAAATCCTATCATCTGCTACTGCATTATAATAATAAGGGAAATCTGGTTTTGTTTTGAGCAAGCTCATGGCACATTTGGTCTAAAGAGCCAGAATTTCTGCTCAGCGAAATCTTTATTCACAAATACAAAGTGTGTAATATGGTATTTCTATTTTCGATAAGGCCTTAAGACATGGACAGCACTAAGATTAAATTTACCCGAAAGAAATTTGTCAACTTTATAAGCATTCTTAAATTTTCAATTATTAACATACAGTAGATGATTCGAAACATCAAACATTAAGAATTTATCAGCCACTAAAATTACGTTTACACGATATTATCTATTACTATACCTCAGTTAATATATCCCCAAAAATCGTAGTGCCAACTATTGCGGGAGAGCAGTCAATAATCGACACTAGGAATTTAGCCTATTTTTGCGCGGAGTCTTACTGATAGTTAAATCTCGGATTACATTTAGTGACCTTTTGACACTAGGCTTTACACTTACGACTCACTACGTTGATGAATGACACTAATCCTGGATCATTAATTTGTCCTCGGGAAGAGTCTCCCGATTGGGGTTTTCAATTATAATAAGCGCGTTTCAATAAGTAACAACCAATTATCGTAAATGCCACTCGAATAATCACGAGACAAGAGGCGATTATTCTTCTTCGATAGGGAGAGTGATTACAATAGCTATATCGAATAATTCGGGGAATGAGATATCAAGCGTATATTTTTAAAGTAAATGCTGTCATTAAGAACACCTCGACTCTAACAACTATAGTTGACTCTAACTGAAATCTACGCTGCTTTGTATCATTCGAATGGATTTTTTTAGCAGCGATTAGTAATTATTGTGGCAGATTAAAACGAAATCGGATTAAAACGAAATTGGGGTCTTTTTGGATCCTCTTTTAATGCCTCTGAAACCCACATATACTCTTCTATTAACAAAATTTACCCTAAATCCCATCCCAAATACCAAGAAAATTGCCCCCCCCCCCCCAAAAAAATTTTTTTTTTAAATTTTCATATTAAAGTAGATAAAATTTTGTTTTAATCCGATTTCGTTTTAATCTGTCACGGTTATTATTTCTATAGCTATCAGTATACGCTACGCTTGCTGCACTACTAACTCGCTGTTATTATTGTTCTGCTGCACTATCGCAGCGTTCCGCAGTTGTTACCGTCCAATCTGTGGCACCGTCGGAGTTACGCGTCATCAACATCGTCGTACCTAAAATTGATACCATAATTGCAGAAAAGATCGTGTTTTTTGTGATGGAGTTAAATCTCTTACCAAAGAAATACTCAAAGCTTGAGTAATTAAACTTTATAACATAAATAGTGTCTTTACTTTCTCAAGTATTAGACCCAATGCTAAAGATCATTATGTTCTTACTATTAATACTAAGTGACATATTGAAGATGTGTGATAAATGAACCAACAAGACTGAAATGACATGCTATCAGTAATTAAAATGCTGTGAATAAATAAGCTTGAAAAATTTTATTGATTTGTTGGCTATTGAACTAGTATACCTACTAGGTATTCAAAAACCATTTCTATCTTGCATACAAGAAATACACGTACTATTACTATAGCAGTGTAGGAACACTGCATGTTTTCATACCAGCTACTCCCGAACAAACTATAACACTCCATGAGGCTTCTGCAACCTAATCAAAATAATGTTATTGGTGAAATAATTGCTAGGCTACATGTATATAGCATTATATCAAAGCTATGGATTCTAAAGCTTGAACCCAGTAGTAGTAGGACAGGAGTGAACTTGAAAATAAGTTAAATGTTCATGATTTTACTATCGGCTATTATAAGTGGAAGAAATCATAACCAAGCTGCTAAATATTATTCACAGTAATTTGCGTAAAATACGGATCTATGCTTGTCTGTCGCATCATATGGCTTTTCTTAATATACCTTTCAAGAATGTTTGCCATGTTCACTTGTTCTTTTGTAGATTCATTAACTCTGATTCCTCATTGTTTTCAACCCAGTTAACAATTCTATTCGACTTTACTCATTATCATGAGCATACAGACAAAGCTCATATTTTGAGCATCTGATCAAATAATCTTATGGAGGATGATGACTACGCGAATGTATCCTTCTTAATATTAAATAGTTATTGCGATAGTTAAGATCTATTCGTTAATTATATTTAATGTCTCAGTTAAATATAAAACATGACTTGATATTAGAAGGTACTAATGGCCTGATTTATGTATCAAGCTAAATATCAAGTTTGTAAAATCTTGCCGACTTAACAGATCGGGTCACGCGCTGAATTCACGGAGATTACTTTCATATTATAATAACAAGATTCCGAGTGAAGTACCGTGCACTTAGTGAGAGTGTACATTTACGAACATTTCTGAGTAGTATACAAATCACAAACCGACAAATTATTAGTTATAAATTTATTTTGTTCAGCCCATACCAAACCATCTTGGTTTGCAGACATGCTACGGCCTTCTGGAACATTATCGACAAAGGACCACCAAAGCAGCACTCCGTGGTGGATGGCCATTAAAGTATCTTTTTGCTGTCTACTTTACTCCCCAATGCCTCTAAGACTACAGAAGGCCCCCTGTGTAATATAGAATATATAGACTGTAAGATAGTAGATATGTATCGAGATTATATGTACAGTATATTATATTTATTTATTATTTATTCAGTATGGAAAATGTAAGCAAGCACACGTGCGACCAATAAAGAATATGAAACCTCAGTCCCTGGTAAGATTTTATCAACTGATAATAAATGCCTTCGATTTAATAGGATCGGTGTTCATTGTCGTTGACATTTTCGCCGAAGAAAGTTACCACCACAAAGCATTTCCACGGACATTGTCATCACATCCTGATTTGCAACAATTTTCCCAGTATGCAGGCAATTACACTATTAGTACGAGAATACATTCGCTATGTGTTACTGGTTCGACAATATAGCATAAAAGGATTAAATATTACGCTGATTAAGCGTGATTGTGGTTGTTAAACGCATAAAAGAAACAAAAGCACGTCCTTATTATGAAATACACCAATGATTAACATAAATAATGTTTGCTTAGTGACTATGAATATGTCGCGCCAGCTGCGTATAACATTTTCCTATAATAACTAAAACAACTACACGGGGCAATTAATTGGCTCCGTAAGAATGTCAACTGTGTAGTATAAAGTATCCTTAATCTGTAGGCCAATTTTTGGTAATTTTGACACATAATTTTATGTTGCATTTTTGAGAACAATATTCTATGTTATTTGTACTTTAACCATTAAGAAAAAAATTTTTTTACCTAATAAAACTGCATAGTGAAAGGATGTGTGGTTAAAGAATAATGCACATTTAAAAAACTTTTGCAAATTCTGCTTTATTTGAGCTATGATAGGTACCATATTCTTAAACTATATTTTTTCTTTACTTTGTTGTGAGTCTAAAGAGTCAAAGATCTCAGTAAACAGATAAGTCATTGAGAAGTAATGGCCATTTGAAGACAGATGCTTATGCACTTCTTAAACTCTTGCATTGCTTCTACTACTTTGTTCGCTTCAAAGTTTTTATTATTGTTCTTCTTGCTCTGGTTCAAATTCATCTTCTGTCCTCTTTACTGAAATCTGTTTCTTTATGGTGTCGACTCACGTATGGGTATTATAATGTCATTGATAAAATGTTAAGGATCAGCAGACAAACAAGACTATATGACCGACTCGTGCAACTCATAATCACGGCCGTTAATATTAGGAATTTGATATCCCAAGACTCATCCTCTTTCTATGAACACTTTTTTGCAAACTATCCCAAGACCGTATTTCCTACCGTTTTTGTTAGAAATACAGTGCATTGGGAAAGTGCGTTGCGTCATTTGAAATGTAACCCGAGTATATTTAATAATAATAATAACTTATTCGTTAACTAATGAGCGATGGTAATTATAATACATAATAATAAATATATATACTGTAATATTAGTGATATTGAAATCTCTCTACTAACATGAATATGGACAAAGACCGTTAATAAGATTACTATTCCGAAGCCAAGTATCCGAGTGTCATTAACACTTTTCTGCGAGCTTCTTCAATCTTTTCGGCAGAATATGGTAGTTCCTGTGGATTCTGAATTGGTATATTGAAGTCTCGATGGCTGCATCAGAGCAATTTTGACGACCCAAACTCGATGACAACGACTGAGGCTGTCATAACGGGATTTCTTGTAAGACTGATGGACGTAATTTTTGCGCTGAAAAATGAATCAAATATCACTTCAAAAATTAACGATTCATTGATATTATTTATTAATCTCCTACCGTTTTACATTGCTGTCAACCATCGAAAAATCCTGGGTATCAGTGAAAACATGACTTTACTGCAGATATATAAAAAACGCAACCTAAATTTGGGGTACTATAAAACGAAACTTTTGCGTTTCTGGCGAACTATATATGTTGGGGGGTATTTAATTAGTAGCATCAAGGTTGATATAAAGCGATTTTGTTGGCGAATCCAAATTGTAGGCAAATTTGCCGACAATACAGTTTAAGGGATAGCACATTGCGCACACGTAACACACATACGTGTAATAACATCCGCACATTGTAAACGCCATAAACTTATAGCAGGTGTTGTGCATACAGAGAGTGGACAGGTAACTTGAACGTTAGAGTCAACTGCAACATCAATATTAATGCCAACAACAGCCTCAACCTTACGAAGCAATCATGAGGCGTGCCTAGTTCACTATAGCATCTTACATTCGGCGAACAAGTCAAAGTGGTGAAAGGCAAAATAGATATTTGAAATTGTTCAGGGAACGAATATTTATGGCAAGTGTAGAATCGCGTTACGATTTATCTGTGACTCGCTTATCTGATTCGTCAAATGGACGCACTGTAACGCTAATACGACACAATTTAGAGTAGATGATTAGCTGGGCGAACATAATGCAAATCAACGTGAAAACTCGCCATCTTTCCTTATTATAACCTTTACATTAATGCAATTTGCCGACACGTGTTACTTTCACAAACAAATTCTTTGATTGCGAGCTGCATAAAAATTTATGACGAAAAGAACTCGATATTTACCGTAACGAACTTTTTCATTCAACTTGATATCCATGTATACGTGTATACGCATTGTATAGTGACTAGCAATAATGTACTTGGTTTATTTGTTCATCAAGTGAGTATGCACCTCAGCAATCAAGTCTGGTTTTCGTCTTGACAATTTCCATCGGTTATGAGAATTTCCATCGATTATGGAAATATCATAAGTTATGGTAACGTCATCGGGTATGTATATGGGATTTTGTTGCAAATAACAAAGGGAATGACATATTTGATTGTATTCAATGGCATTATTCGAATGGTCTTAAGTTTTCACATTGTTAATGATTGTAAATACTGATGTCGTATAACCTAAATATTTCACAAGACTTGCACCTTAATATCGATTCAATTATTTAGTTATGTAAACCTTATAATCACTCGTACGTCTTTTCGTGTGCTACCGGATAATGAATTGGGCGCTTCATTAAACCCACGATAGGGAACATGTGGTCATTAGTAAGAGCTTTCATATATTCGAACGATTATCTTCTATCTCAAGCACGTTGCAATTAATGCCGGAAATGGTTTAATGCATTTTTTTACCATGACTGCTTTTGGTGAATGTGGAACAATATTATAAAGCAGCAAAAAACGCCCAAGCAAAAAAAAACTGATGTGCGATGGACCGCATACTAAGCGACATTCACTGGGAGGAGCATGAGTACTACTACTGTTGAAAACCAAAGTCAATTCTGACATAAACCCAACGCTACTTACACCACCATCACCCACCACCATATCCTCGATGAAGGGGGGACGTATAGATTCATTGCCATGTCTTATAGTGTAATCAGGAGATTATGCATGATGCACTGATACAATCTTATTTTGTACCTGCATGGATGTACAATCGTTTAATGAATAATAATAATTATGCTTATATGAATTAGGGCAGTATCAAGAACAACATCATAAAGATAGTAAAGTAAGTAAAAAGAATAGGAAATTTTAAAGTGATGCACGCTTTTATACTCCGAGTATGTCTGTCAAAATGGATGAAGGTTGGTGGTGAAATCAGGGTGAGAAGAAGAAACGAAAACATAATAATAATACCAATCCCACGCCAATTAATCTATCTATATCTATTGACCCCAACATTTGCATGCATTACGTATCCGGAAATCAAGGAATCTCTCTCCATCTGTTGCAGTTATATGTCTCTCTTCCCCAATAAAATTCGCTTTCTCCTTCCTCGCTTCCCCGACTATCTACGAACAGCTTACTATCAACGAGAGACATACTCTTGTATATGAGTGAGTGTCTCTTTCATCAAGCTTTCGGCTCATTTTTTCGGGTATCCTGGTCAACGTTACGCTACCATTCGCCATGTAACACAATGGCGTCATGGACATTGATGTTTCCGCCGTTGATTATCAGTAAGCCTGCGGCCCAATGATGTATAAAATAGACTTGGTTTGGTGTAGTTAACTCGCTCTTTGGTGTGGCTACGTTCTGAACGTAAAACATTATAGTCTGAAAGGGTTGTGACGTTATTCTGCGCTTGTAACGAATAAACAAATATACAAAATGAGATTTCCACAGCCTGTCAAGATAGCGAACTTGCTCGTCTATTTCTTCTTGCTATCCGCTAATGTATATTCAGTATATGGACCCGAATCGGTGAGTTTGGCGCAGAGCTGTCAGAACAGGGAGATATCCTATTGTCCTGGATTGTTTATATGAACATCGTTGAATTAAGATAACTAATCGCATTTTCACGTTATTTTTATAGGGCTCCCCATACGTAGATGCTAAGAAGACGTATATTACTCCAGCACCGTTTGTCTTCTTCGTTTGGGGTGTCATTCATTTCTTGCTTGCTGGTTTCGGTAAGTAATAGCTTTGTTATTTACTATGTTTACCCTCCACCGCCCAATGTATATTCCAACAGTATTTTTTACCTCTCATCTCCCACATATCCCAACTAGTCATCTACCAATTCTTCAGTCAAGCTACCGAAACCGTAGTCGACGGCATTAGCTGGCATTTTGTCTTCATCTCAATCTGGAATACCATTTGGCTTGCTCTTACCCAGAAAGATCACCCAATCCTCGCATGGATCGCCATTCTTCTTACTGCTTCGCAGGTCTCATATGTCTACTATAACATTCGCTACAAGTACCCCGCCATCAATCTCATGGATAATGCCTTTATCCATGCGCCATTCTCTCTTTATCATGCTTGGATTTTCGTAATCGCTGTTATTTCTACTTTCGTTGCTTTCACCCCAGAGGTCAGCGATGATGGACCTAGTGTTTTAGTAACCATTGCTGTGATTATTGGGTTGTTGGTTCTGCAGTCTACTGCAGTCAGTTACGTCGAACTTGGAAAGGGTGATGTGGCTGGTGCTTTGGTTATTGCCTGGGCATTGTACGGCATTTTTATGGAACAGGATAGTCCTGCTATTTCTTGGACTGCGTTTGCGCTTTCCATCCTTACTTTACTGTATTCGGTAAAACCATTTGTCGCCAAACACGTGTTTGGTAGGTCCGGCGAAGAGCGTGCACCATTGTTGGGTTAGAATCAAGTTGGGTGCGTCAAAGACATAATTTGTAAACTGTCAGTTTTGGTAATAGGGTTGTGTCCGTGTATGTAAATTTAGCAGTGCAAATTAAACTAGGCTTTAGCGAGCATGTCGTTGTGAATAAAAGTTCCTCGCGATAGCAAAGAGATTTAGTATGGGTTTAACGCTGGCAAATTAGCTATATATTAATATGGCAAATTCTGACACAATTAAGGGATGCGTTTCAATACGTAATAGTGTTAAAAAAGTATTGTACAATACTGTGTGCTTATATATATGCCTTTATTAAAAAATCTGCGATTGTCAGCATTTTATGTCTACAAACAAGAAGTGTACGGGATAAGAGATTTATTATCACGAGCTTAAGTAATGGTTGATTAGCGGCGCAGTACCTCTAGCTTTTACCAACTTTTTTATTATTTCCAAACTCTCATGGCTGCTGCAAACATTCTGTTAATGTAATGTTTCAAAAGCAATTAACCTGAGAAAATTATAAAAGATGCACGTTCAGCACTGAAGTTACTATATCCTAATCATAAAACGACGTGCCGTCGCAAAATTATAACGGTGATTTATGACTCATATGCTAAACTTATACACAGGCAAACTCGATAAGTCGGTCATGCATGATGGACCGACTTATCGAGAGATTTTAAATATTAAAACCGAGAAAAGGGCTTGGGAAGTTTTGGCCTCTTAGGCCAAAATTGAATCATTGAGAGACCGACTTATCGAGTTTGCCTGTGTATATACTAATGTCTAAAGTCATTTTCACCAACAATGAAACATTCCTTCACTCATAGTTTCGGTGTTTAACTATCGCTGTGATACTACACCCTGGCAAACATGGCAACATAACTTCAAAAAAATACGCAACACTGTATATGATATTGTCCACATCTTCGCGCACAAAATAACGCGTTGAAGTCTTTAGCATGTCGTAGAAATAGACTATAAAAATCATTGCTCACGTAGAGTTTAGAACAACCTTTGTGACTGTTATATTTGTGTAACAATCCTAGCAGTGTCTTTTGTACATTCCATTTGTTGGAAGACACATTGAAGTTTGCTTCGCGTGAATACATTGCTTCATGAAAAGGACCGCAATCGACGTGATCAAGGCTGAGGAATTTTGTCGCTTTCAACAACTGGTGAATTATATAATCCACATTATAAAATAAACCTTCAGCATGACTTCAGATGCCAATGTTTGAGAATTGGATTAAGTACTGTTTGCAGATACCGCGATCGTGAGCATACAATTTTTAAGATGTCAGTTGTGAAATCTTAATGATATATAACAGACCTCTCACGAACTCTAAAAACAATCAACTCTGACTTTTCGTCTTCAAACAATTGAACAGAAGTGCAGTTTTTCGCTTCATATCACTGTCGTATGAAATAAAAGGGGAAAGGCAAAGTGGTTGAGAATGCAGGGGTAGTTCATTATTACAGCTATAAAGTCTTGGCTGCCCATATGCTAAAGGTACGAACTACTAAATAAGATTAGTTGCGTAAAGCGCCATACGCATCAGGCTTTACTATTTCAAGAGTTATAAACGCTTAGGTTGTTCTTAGAATGTAACGAGAATCGAATGTGTTATGTCGTACTAAAGTCTTGTGACGGTTCACTAAAAAGACGCGAGTCGAAAATGGACTAACAATGTATTAAGGTCTTCATTGGTTTGGTCTTTCTGTAATAAATAAGGGCACCTGTTGTCTCATCGCGTCTATTCCATTGCTGAACGTCGCTTTTAACTATCATGACTCCATGGTTCAATAAATACAAAACATTCGTCAATAAGAAAAGAACGGGAGATTGGTTTGAATAAAACATGTAGATGAATGGGATTGGCAGACAGTTAAATCGTTGTGTTAAAATGACAAATAGAGGGTTTATCCCGTATGTGCAGGAATTAAAGTATATTGTTTCAATTTATTAATACAACCGTTATTATAGTAAAATAAATATCATCTATGTACAGACTAACGTCCTATGAATAATGTATATGACAGAGTAAAATGTTCTCATGACGCATTCCTCACCATCGTAATATCGTAATATAATCAATGTCCCAACTAAAAATTTTCATCTCTCCTTTCCTCAATAGCACTATACTTGAATTGACCATCTCCAAGGTTAATTTTTATAATACATGGCCCGATAACTCCTATTGTTGGAAACCAGGTATTTTGACCAACGATTTCATCGACGCTGAGGCGCTTCCCGTTATTTGTGAAGAATACACGCCCAGTATTGCAATCATATCCACAACCGACCGTATCTCCATCTTCGGCTCCCCATTTAGGGCCATATTTGGAACCGTCAGAACAGTACCCAAATGAGTTAGGCATGATACCAGGAAGTCTGAGTTAAATCAAAGAGCAAGTAAAATATTACGAATAAGACGGTATTACATATTGACCAGAGGAGAGCCAGTTAGTACAAAGACTGGATACAAACTTTTCGTTCTCACCCTCGAGTGGTTGCTGAGGGTTTGTAGTAAGACCTATTGCCACAATTGCGTTTTCTTCACTCGACATTGCGGTTATCTCAAAGTAATTAGCGCTACTGGATTTATTATCATCAACAGAGATGTATACGTGGCCATTTTCTGATGACGCCTGTGTTGGCAATATTCAATGAAAAAGAAATAAGAACCACTATTGTTAAATAAAACCAACAATATATTTATATACACTCACTGTTGTATCTTCGAGTATTTGTACAGCTACACTGCCTGCGTTGGGGGATTCATTTTTAGCATTTGCATCTGTCAGCGGTAGCGGGGTAGAGAACGGAAGATTCAGCCGCACAATAGTACATTCTTCATCCTTAAATTGCAATGCATTTCCGTTCGGGACTACCGATCGTTGATTGGGAATAACTTGATAATCCAAGGGGGGCGTCTTGTTCTCCACTGTAGATGAGGTCGCCGGTGCACCATCTGTCGAGTGAGTCTCGAATGGGAAGCCCAAAAGGGTTGATATTTTGTCGTAAACGCAAGGCGAACAGGGGCGGCAGATACAGAGAACAACTGCAAAGACCACGAAGAAAACCAAACCAACGACTAAGAAAGCGGTCCAAAAGACTCCTCCCACAACATGATGGTTCTTTGACTTTGAACTACTATTTCCGCCACCACCACCAGCGCCGCCGCCACCGCCACCGCCACTCAAAATCGACAAAGCGAAACTTGTATGATGCACTATACATATCAACGTCAATCGTAAAAATAATGGAATAGGATGAATAGAATGCATCTTTCAAGAGGCTAGATGTTCTAAGTCTAACGTCAATCTCAAGCTTTTCTTTTTTTTCTATCTGGTATACTGTATGTAAGACTAGCCAAAAGGGGGGCAACAATAATCATTAACGATTATCTAGAAGAGCAAGCTTTCTACATCGAAGCGTGCCACAGTCTTGGCGTAGGTGGCACTTGATGACCAATCAGCTGACCATTTTTCCTGTATAGAATTCTATCAAGCAATTTTTTAACACATGCAATTCTTCTTTGGTTTACCCCCTTTTGGATGAGTTGAATGAAATATAATCACAGGTTATAGGTAATGCTATGTATTGAGATTGAAATGTATTAATATATAAAGGGGAAAGCAATGCTATCAGCACGCGAATAACTTATGTAAATGATATCTGAATTATCCAAAATTAGATGGAATGTCGATAAAATGTGTGTGTAACATGCGATTCCGCAGTTGTTACTCAACTGTACGTTGACTTTGCTTAGAACCAAAACAGCCACTTTCTCGTACTAAGACTCTTAATACGAGCAGGGATGTTAAACAGTCCAGTCCATCCGGTCCTAAATCCTGGACTACTAGTCTTCATGAGGACTGGACCAAACTGATTCTCTTATAATCATAAGACTGCAGTCCCAAATTTGGTTCTAGGACTAAAGTTCAAACTCTGGTCCTAGGACTGTAGTCCCAAACCTCTGGTTATAAAATAGTAAACAAAATAATTGATGTTCAAGTTTTAGTAATGTCAGAACAATGAACTAACTCTTATCATTTGCAGATAAAAAACATGGATCCTTTAAAAACATGTCAATTTATTTCAAATATCAACACATGGTTATAATCTAACCAGTCATAGTAATAGCAGCGAGTCACATGATAAAATCTTCTCCGCAGTCGAACAACCTAATATAATTTTAGCAACGTGGCGACAGCACAAAATGTAAGATTCAGAATTTCGAAGATTTAGCTATATTAGTGTAGAAAAATGTTGATATGTTGAAGTAATTGTTCCAAGGATTGATCTAATCCACGGAAATAAACAAATTGTTTCCTTGAAACTTATTCATTTCTTTCTATCATTATCTTTACTTGAATTTTTAACATAGTCCACATGAAAAGGGTAATACCTACATAGCCCATAGAGTAGCTGAGCCCACTTAGGCTTACGAATTTATCCTCTGAGCGATTATGGGAATAACAGAAAGCGAGCCTGGTTAATTATTGTAGCGCGTTGATAACAAATTTTAATCTTTAATTAATTTCGTATAATTAGGTAAGTGACATTTACCCCGACTAGTCGAAAACACTGAATCGAGTGTCGGAAGAATACTTCGTATGGGAGTTATTAGATAGCACGTTTTAAATTAATAATACACAGTCACTTACATATTTAGTTGACTATCACTAGAGTAAGGGTAATGGGTTGACATACTGTAAACTCATTAAGCACCGGTAATGTTATAAAAAACTAACCCCTACCCCCCTTGATTACCAATTAATTAACGTCATATATGATATCCGCAGTTCGTGATTATGTAACAAACAGAATAACGCGGACAATTGTTCGCCGCAATCAAACGTCTCATGAATAAGCACTGCTTCATATGATGAGGGTAGGTGCTTATTCATGAGAGTTTACGGTATTTGCTCTCCCAACCCATATATACAAATTACTATGTAATACTCAGATTTTTATTATTATACCGTTTACAAGCATAATATCGCACAGTTGACATAAGCATTTGAATATATTACACAGCTTATTGTTATATTACTATCATGAGAAACTATGGTGATAATTATTTAAAAGCCTTGAGAAATAATATACTACTAATAAGTTCTCCTCAATCGCAATTACGATTAGAACTAGAGTTTGCAAATGCGCTCCTAAGACCTGAGTTCGAAACCGCAGTCCTAGGACCAGGGCTTGAAACCGCAGTCCTAGGACCAGAGCTTAAAACCGCAGTCCTAGGACCAGAGCTTAAAACCGCAGTCCTAGGACCAGAGCTTAAAACCGCAGTCCTAGGCCCAGGGCTTGAAACCGCAGTCCTAGGACCAGAGCTTGAAACCGCAGTCCTATTGTTATTAAATTTCTGTGAGACCGCATGGACTGAAACACGGGACTGGATCGCCTTGTATATTGCAGGATTGAAGTCCTGATTAGACTGATAACATCTCTAATTAAGACTAAGGTTTTTCAGTTACGCTTGGTTAAAGTCAGGCTTGTATCGTTTTAGATGGCGAATAAAAAGTGCTTCAAAATATTATTATGGCACAAAGCTTTCTTGTAACTTTCTTAGTGGAGTAGTTGTTTATTACATGTTTGCATTCAGTAACTGTTAACTTTCGGTAAAGTTTTACTGATTACTCATTGGTTTGGTGGGCGAACGTACAGTGTGTTAAGAAAAAAAATTGGCCTCTAGACACGTAAAACTTAAAGCGCGTCCTTTCCATATTGAGTATAATAAACGCGTCAGATTTTTTTTGAAAACAAAAACAAACCATAAGACTTGCATTTGGTTTC